CGCTAGGCGTTGGAACCGTGAAAAACAGCAAGCACCGGCACCACCAAAACATACTTATACCATGCGTGCGTCGGCTCCGCAAGGGCGGCGCGCGCGCGCTCAGGCATCTTGTGGTATCAGCTCCGTTGCGTGCGCTTTCTGGCCATGCCTTATGCTGTTTCGACTTACTTTTGCCTTGATCACCAAGAAGAATTTCGAGCACCAGGAACGTACCGACATCGGAGGGTTTTCACGTGTCGGGCCCAGGGAGGCGATACTCGTTCGACACCTGTTCGACACTTTTCTGGGCACTCGAAATTATGTTTGGGATTTGGATCTTAAGTTCGATAGGAACAACATTAGCCATGCCGCTCAGGAAACGAGATGTTCCCATACTTGCTGACTATGTGCCCATTTCGGCCGTGCGCCTCCAACACCAGCACGTCATACGGGCATGTCCTTTTGCGTCCCCAGGCATACAGGCAAGCAGCAGCCATGGGACCCGCACATGTGTGTGTGTGCGTGTGTGTGTGTGTGTGTGTGTGTGTGTGTGCGTGCGTGCGTGCGTGCGTGCGTGCGTGCGTGCGCGCGCGCGTGCGCGTGCGCGTGCGCGTGCGCGGGCGCGCGCGTGCGCGCGCGCGCGTGCGCGTGCGCGTGCGCGTGCGCGTGCGCGTGCGCGTGCGCGTGCGCGTGCGCGTGCGTGCGCGTGCGCGTGCGCGTGCGCGTGCGCGTGCGCGTGCGCGTGCGCGTGCGCGTGCGCGTGCGCGTGTGCGTGTGCGTGTGCATGTGCGTGTGCGTGTGCGTGTGCGTGTGCGTGTGCGTGTGCGTGTGCGTGTGCGTGCGCGTGCGCGTGCGCGTGTGCGTGCGTGTGTGCGTGTGCGTGTGCGTGCGCGTGCGCGTACGCCTGTGCCTTTGCATGTGTGCGTGTGTGTGTGCGTGTGTGTGTGTGTGTGTGTGTGTCTCTGTTTGTGTACTGCACATCTCGCACGGACTCGGAAGGCAGCCCCCTAATGGGCCACTCCCGCAGGCCCCGTCGGACGAGGGTTCGGGAGGAGAAGCTGGGCTTGCTTGCAAGTTTTGTTTCCCATGACCAGTGCGTCTTGGACTTTCCTGGAAGGGGCACCGCGAGGCCGAGGCGCACTGGATGTGGACAAACATCGAGCCCCCCTACAGGGGCCAGATTCTTATCCACGTCCAGTGCGCCTCTCGGGGTTCTGGGGGAGGGAGCCCGGAGCTCCAAGCTGGCACAAGTCTTGCCCGCAGGGCTGGGGGGGAAGGCCCCCACAGGGCCCACGACCAGTGCTTCGAGCAGGCCAGCCTGCTCCTTCTGTCGAGCGCCCCGCGGGCCACCTCCCGCCCCGGGCCCCTTCGCGTCACGACGGAAGTCGCGTCGGCCTGGCTTCGACATCTGTTCAGGCTCCGGGGGGGCGCCCTCGCCGGGCCGCAGGGCGCTCACGCGGCCCTCGGGAGGAAGACCTGCCCGTGGGAAGGGAGCGAGACCTCCTGAGGTTCGCGTGTTCAGATTCACGACGTCGCAGGTCTGGTCTCGCGCGCCGTGCAGGCCACCGTCGCCGCCGCCGCCGCCGCCATGGTCGACGTCGTAGTCGTCGTCGTCGTCGTCGTCGTCGTCGTCGTCGTCGTCGTCGTCGTCGTCGTCGTCGTCGTCGTCGTCGTCGTCGTCGTCGTCGTCGTTCGAGGGATTTGTTCGAGGTCTCGGGGTCTGTCGTTCGACATTGTCGTGGTGTGCGATTTCCAGCGTGTTCTTGCCATCTTGGGCCTCTGGGCGCCTTCAGAGGCCTCTCGAGGCTCCGGGGTAGACCTCTCCTTCAGGGGAGGAGTGCCCCACATTCCAGACGTCGCGACTTGTTGAGTCCTGTGGCCTCTGGAGACCAGTTATTGGCCCTGGGGCCCACAAAAATCGGCTCGAGATGAAACACCGGCCTGGGGGAAGGTGTCCAGAGCTCTAGGCTCTAGGGACTCCATACTGAAATAATCACGACGTCAGAGGTCTGGTGAGAAGGGAGTGGCGCGGGAGCGCTGCACCGCAAACGGGGACCCAACGACCTGGCGCACTGGCTTCTACATTACGTACGTAGGTTTGTCGCGTGCTGTACCACAATGGACGACACGTGGTTGGGTGGCATCGGGCCCACCACCTCTGAGCGTTTGAGTCTCCCCCGAGCGTGACATTCCCTGGTTTTCCCCGAGCCGAAACAAAGCTTACCGTTTCAGCTGCGAAGCAGCGGGCGCGACGCTCGCAGAATACAGATGCGGGACGGATCACCAGTTTGCGGCCCATGTTGTGAGCCCTCTCCTGAAGGGGGCCCCAATCGTCTCCATCCGCCCCCATCGAGATGGGCGCGCTCGGAGGAGTAGGAACGGGAGAGGTGGAGGAGAAGGGACCTCAGCCGGCTCCAAGGGGTAGTCGGGATCGCTTGGGTGATGCGGGTGTTGTACACAATCCTCTGTCTGTGTTCTCAATATGGTGGGACGCGAGTTCAATATATCATTCATTTCCTTGGAGTTATCCATTTCTGTATGTAGGTGTTGTTCGCTGCCAGTCGACGTGCGCACATGGGCACATAGTCTGAAGTTCACGTCGGCCGCCTTGCTACCTGTGCGCCCGAGCGCCACCCTGAAATGCCCTTCCTGGACTTTTTTGTTTCTCGCTCTCGCTCTCTGGCTGCAGGACATACCATCAGCATGCATCACGGCGCCAGCGATGCACGCTTTTTCCATGTTAGCAGTCGGATCCCATCCGAAAAGATAGGCGTTTCACAGAGAGGCTACGACCTGAACGTTGGCGCCCTAAAGGGGCACGGAGACTGATCCGAGAGCGAGCGCGAATCGAGTCGAAAATCGACTTTTGCCCTCTGGCTTCCGTCGGCAGCATTCGCACCATCGTCCACTCCCAGTGTGGTTGCCGCCAGCACCAGGTGGCCTCGCTACCAGATGACGTGGGCACAGAGGAGGAGGAGGAAGGAGGAGAAGGAGGAAGAGGAGGAAGAGGAGGAGGAGGAGGAGGAGGAGGAGCAGATCGGCACATCCCTGGGAGAGGTCCACCCGGGGGCCCTCCGTTGGCCCTGCGAGGCCTCCGAGGCCCTCCGAGAGATCGCCTAGGGGCCTCCAGAGAGTGCTCGCCGCCGCGGCCACCGCCGCCGCCGGCCCTCGCCAGCCCACAACACTAGGGGAACGAAGAATTCGGGGGCAACGAGAAGGGGGGATAGGCATAGGGGGGATGCATCGACCCCCGGTCGCCCACTGATCGCCGATAGGGACGCGATAGCCCCACCCAGCCCAGGAAGGTGCGGATTCACTATCGGGGGCCTGTCGAGGATCTATCGACGATGTCTCGCTGATTCCAGGTCGATGCATCCCCCCCTATGCCTGTTCCCCCCCTATCGTTTCCCCTCAGCAATGGCATAAACAGAAAAACTCGGAGGTCCGCACGGATTTCTCGGATCGCTTCTGGGGCCCCCCCAGCGGCGCCTCTGGCGCGCTCCGCGCGCCAGGGAAGGGGGTGCAGCGCCGACTCCCGAGAAATCCGCGCGGACCTCTGAGTTTTTATGTTTATGTCATTGCTTGTTCCCCTAACAACAAGGTCGCCATCGCCGCGCGCAGCTGTTTTGGCCCAGAGTTGAGTGCCCCTTCTGCCCGGCACCCGTTCGATCGCAGGCCTAGAGCTCGACACCAGCACCAACGTCGGGTTTTGCCTCCGACTAGGGAAGATGCTCCCAATCTTGCTGCTGATGGTGGTAATATTCTGGCTTCTATGGTGGCCGACATGTTACCACCAACACGGACATCCAGGATCGTGATGATGGTGATGATGATGATGATGATGATGATGATGATGTCGATGATGTTGATGATGACGAGACGAGGATGAGGATGAGGATGAGGATGAGGATGAGGATGAAAATGATGATGATGGTGATGATGATGATGATGATGTCGATGATGTTGTTGATGAAGATGAAGATGATGATGCTGATGATGATGATCATGAGGATGATTACTATTATGGTGATGATGCTGATGATGACGATGATGATGCTGATGACGATGATGCTGATGATGATGTTGATGATGATGGTGATGATGATGCTGATGCTGCTGCCGATGCTGCTGCTGTTGCTGCTGCTGCTGATGATGATGATTGATGATGATGATGCTGCTGATGATGATGATGTTGATGATGATGGCGATGATGATGATGATGATGATGATGATGATGATGATGATGATGATGATGATGATGATGATGATGATGATGATGATGCTGATGATGCTGATGCTGATGCTGCTGCCGATGCTGCTGCTGCTGCTGCTGCTGATGATGATGATGATGATGGTGATGGTGATGGTGATGGTGATGATGATGATGATGATGATGATGATGATGATGATGATGATGATGATGATGATGATGATGATGATGATGATGATGATGATGATGATGATGATGATGTTGATGATGACAGTGGAGGCAGCCCCGAGTGGTGGTGTTGGTGAGTATTTCCAGGCCTCCAACCTCCCCGCAGGCGCCGCTCCGACGATGCCGACGCCAGTGCTCGCCGCCAGCCCGCGCCCGCGAGGCGCTGGCCCGCCGCGCGGACGCCGCGCGAGCAGCGGTGGCCTCAAGCTCGCGGCCCTGGCCGCCCTGGGCGCCGCCGCGTGGGCGGCGTCGCGCGAGGCTCACCGAGCGCGTTCCACCACTCGCAAAGAGTGCCGGCTCGCAAGCGTCCGGAGGACAGCCGTCTGCGCCTCGTCGTCGCGTGCGTCGCAGAGAGCCCCCCCCAAAGGGCGGACCCGGGCCGCTCGCGAGACGTCAATCCTCTGCGAGTCGTGGAGGGCGCTCGTCTGGAGGCCTTCCTCCTCCCCGCCGCGCGCGGCGGGCTCGCGGCCCGCCCGCGCGCGGAGGCGCCGCCCGGCGCCCACGCGGCCGCGGCGCGCGGTCGGGCGCCCGTGGGCGGCGCCCGCCGCGCCGCGGAGGGCGCGGAGGTGCGCGCCGCCGCGGCCGCGGGGGGCCTGCTCGCGGCCGCCCTGCTGCCGCTGTGCGCGCGCCGGGCCGGCAGCCGCGCGCGCCGCGTCGCCCGGCGTGCGCGGGGCGGGGAAGGTCGGCGCCGGGGCCGGAAGCGTGTCCCTGGCCCCAGAGCCCCTCGAGCAGGGGAAGGCAGCACGACAGCAGGCGTCTCCCCCAGTTCTCGGCCTCCTCGGGGGCCCTCCTCGGGCCCCGGGGCCGTCCGCAAGCGGCTCAGGATGAAGCCGGTCCCGGGGAAGAGGTTGAAACTTGTTGGGGTCGACGTCATTCTAGGCCTCCCAGAGGGGGTCGGAGTAGATGGATGGGGCGGGAGGATCGCGCCGCATCGCCGATGCGGCTCGATGCGGAGCCCGATTTGCTTCACGCCGACGTCGCCGATGCACCGCCGACGTTGACGATGCATCGCTGGTGCGATGCATCGCCGATGTATCGGGGATGCGGCGCGATGCTCCGACCCCATCTACTCCGACCCCATCTAGGAGGCCTCTAGTCATCAAGCAGTGGCGAAGCGTCCCAGCTCGCCTATAGGCCTACCAAAGAATGTTCTAAGAACCTCTTGTGGTCTGCACGGAATGTTCTTAGAGCACTTGTAGTTCAGATGTTTTCTCACAGATTGGGCTTATGTTCTGAGAACCTTACTTTCGTTGTTAGAACATTTGTGGGTTCTACGAACATGTCGTGGTAGGCCTATAGGAATGCCGGGACGGTCGGTCCTTGCTCAATGAAAGCTTCCCTGGCCCAAGGTGCCCCCAGGATGTCCAAGCCCAGACATGATCGCGTCGTAAAATAATCAGAACTGGAGGTTTTTGGCCACTTTCGGCCTCGGGGGGCCCTCGCTGGGCCTCGGGACCGTCAACAAAAACGACTTAGGATGAAAAACCGATCCCGGGGAAAGGGTCGGGACTTCCAGGGACCCCGTTTTGAAAGATTCAGGACGTCGCATGTCTGGGAGGACCCCGCGGCCTCCAGAGCACCCCATCGCGAGGCCCAGAGGGCCCCATGGGGCTCCTCCGTGGCGCGGGCAGCCAGGGGCGCCCTGGGCCAGAACCACTTCCTAGAGCAGCACCCGGGCAGGGGCCACCCGCGTGGTCGAGCTGCCCGAGGGCTGCATGGTCGGCGACGTCTCCGAGGAGTGCGTCGGGCACTGGGCGCGGCCGTGCTCCGAGCTGACCATCGGGGTGCTCCGCGAGACGGCCAAGCAGGCGGGCACCTCCGAGCCGGAGAAGCGGGTCGCGGCGACGCCGGCGTCCGTGAAGATGCTCCTCGGCGAGGGCTACAGCGTGGTCGTCCAGGTCGGGGGCAGGAGAAGCGCTGTGGACGACGATCCATGGAGAGGAAGCAGATTGCCAGATCATTTCCAGACGTCCAAACAGGTTTTCAGCGGGCATTGTTCGAACATTGCCGAACATTAAGTCAATGATGGGAGTGTTAGGGTGTCCGTTGTCATGGCATCCACAAGGAGAAGCGACGCAACGAGCTGGGGAGCTGGGGACGGGGGTGGTCTCGAGCGGCAGGGAGGGAGCGGGGAGCACAGCACCAGGGGGACGAACCCCTGGCTCCTCCCGCTGGTGTTCCCTGGTGTGCGGGCCCCAAGAATACACACCATCACCACCACGTCGATTCCTCCCCCCTCCTCTACCCCCCTCCTCCTCTCCTCGTTCCTGCTAGAGGGAGGGAGGTGAGGGAGGTGGTGGTGGTGGTGGTGTATAATTCTGTTTGGGCCCCGTGTGGTGGTGGTGCTGTCGATTCTCGTTGCTCCTGTCCAGGCGGGCGCAGGGGTCAACGCGGACATCTCCGACGCGGAGTTTGAGGAGGCGGGGGCGACGGTGCTGCAGGGCGCGAAGGCCGTCGCGAACGCGGCGGACATCCTGTTGAAGGTGAGGCCGCCCACGCTGGGGGAGGTGGGCATGATGAAGGAGGGCACTGTGCTCATGAGCCTCATCCATCCTGCGCAGAACAAGGAGCTGGTCGCGAAGCTCCAGGCCAAGAACATCACCTGCTTTGCCATGGACCAGATGCCCAGGACGCTGAGCCGGGCCCAGTCGTACGACGTGCTCAGCTCGATGGCCAACATCGCGGGCTACCGTGCCATAGTCGAGGCCAGCGGCCGCTTCGGCCGCTTCTTCGCCGGCCAGTTCACAGCGGCTGGCAAGGTCGAACCGGCGAAGGTGTTGGTTATCGGCGCGGGGGTGGCCGGGCTGGCTGCGATCCAGCAGGCGCACAACATGGGCTGCATCGTGCGCGCGTTCGACGTGCGTGCCGCCTGTAAAGAGCAGGTGGTGGCGGCCGGGGCCGAGTTCCTGGAGGTCAAGATCGAGGAGGACGGCTCGGGCGATGGCGGCTATGCCAAGGAGATGTCCAAGGAGTTCCTGGAGGCCGAGATGGAGCTCTTCCGGTCGCAGTGCGCCGAGTGTGACATCGTCATTACCACGGCCCTGATCCCTGGCAGGCCAGCCCCCAAGCTGATCACCAAGGCCCACGTCGACGGGATGAAGCCTGGCAGCGTCATCGTGGATCTGGCCGCCGAGACGGGCGGGAACGTGGAGACTACTAAGCCCGGACAGGTTTACGAATACAACAAGGTGACCCACGTCGGCTTGTCGCTCTACGAGCACATGCCCAGCCAGATGCCTGCGCAGGCCTCCTTTCTGTTCGGCAACAACCTGGCGAAGTACATCCTGAGCATGGGTCCAAAGAAGCACTTCTACATCGACTTCGACGACGTCCCCACACGCGGGGCGCTGATCACCATGGGCGGGGAGTCGATGTGGCCGTGGAGCCCGCCGAAGCCGGCGGCGCCGGCAGCGCCTGCAGAGCCGGAGGTTTCGCCAGAGCCCTTGGCCGTGGAGCTGAGCCCAGAGGATCGCCGAGCGCGTTCCACTACTCGCAAAATGCCTACTCGCAAACGTCCGAAAAAGCATGTCTGCTTTGACGTAATTTATCGTCGATCCCCCGCGGGAAATCCAGGCCATTTGCGAGTAGCTACTTTTCGAGTAGTGGAACGCGCTCGTCGAGAGGAGCAGTCCTTCCAGAGCTCCGCCTACTCCGCTGCCGGGGTGTCCGCTGCGGTGGTCCTGCTCCTGCTGGCCGGCGCCGCGGGCCCCGCCATGACGCCGATGCTCACCACGCTGCTGCTGGCGCTCATCGGGGGCGCACAGGCGGTCGACGCGAAAAACGGGCCCAGACTGGTCGCGTCGCACTAAAAACATCAAGACGGGAGGTTTTTGGTCATTTTGGGTCTCGGGGGGCTCTCGCAGGGCCTCGGGACCGTCAAACAACGACCCATGATGAAAAGCTGGTCCCAGGGAGCGGGTCGGGACTTCAGGGACCCCGTCCTGAACAGATCAGGACGTCGCATGTCTGGGGGTCGTCTTCGCCGACATTGGCGCGGAAGCTGGCCGCGTAAGGTCGCGCCTCCATTGTGGCGTGCCGCGCCGGCGGCCCGCGCAAGCCGCCGCGTAGGGTCGCCGTGTCATCTCGCGTAAGACCCGTTCTTGATCGTCGCTCAGGTGGTGTACGGGGTGGCGCCGGCCCTCCACTCGCCGCTGATGTCGGTCACGAACGCGATCTCTGGGCTCACCGTCGTGGGCGGCGTGCTGCTCATGGGCGGCGGGCTCCTCCCGGAGACGCTGCCGCAGTGGCTCGGGGCGGCCGCCGCGCTCATCTCGATGGTGAACGTGGGCGGGGGCTTCGTGATGACCAACCGCATGATCGGCATGTTCCAGCGGAAGGGCGACGTGCCCCAGTTCGCCGAGCTGTACGCGGTGCCGGCCGCCCTCTTCGTCGGCCTCTACGTGGCGGGGTGCCAGCTCGGGTACTTCGACCTCGCGGCCGAGAGCCAGATGGTGTTCGGGGGCAACGATAGGGGGGGATGGGCATGGGGGGGGATGCATCGACCCCCAATCGCCCCTTGATCGCCGATAGGGGCCCGATAAAGCCCCAACCTGCCCAGAAAGGTGCGGATTCACTATCGGGGGCCTATCGCCGATCTGTCAGCGATGTATCGCCGATTCCAGGTCGATGCATACCCCCTAAGCCAGTCCCTCGGGGATGGACAGAACCCCCTTTAGTAAAACGTGGTTTTGTGAAAACGACCTCGGGCCCAAACCAGGCGGGCGCAAGCCTGGAAAATGACGGCCGCGGCGCCCTCGCGAGAACCGAAGACGGACGATTCACTAGTCGACGTGTCAGGGTGGGGGTTCTGTCCACCCCCGAGTCCCCCCCTATCTCGGGGGTGGACAAAACCCCCACCCTGACACGTCGATTAGCGAATTGGCCGTTGTCGGTTCGCGCGAGGGCGTCGCGGCCGTCAGTTCTGCGGGTCAAGGTCCGTCGGTTTTGGCCCTGGGCCGTTTTCACTGAAGGGAGGTGTGCTGAAGGGAGGCTTGTCCACCGCCAACTATATCGTTGCCCCTCAGGTCTACCTGATCGCCTCGGTCATGTGCGTCGCGGCCATCGGCGGGCTCAGCTCGCAGAGGACCGCGCAGTTCGGCAACGCCATGGGCGTGGCGGGCGTGGCGGGCGGCCTCGCCGGCACCGTCGGGCTCGTGGTCGCCTCGGGCGCGCCGGCCCCGGTGCTGATGCAGATCGGCGGCACGCTGGCGGCGGGCGCGGCGGCGGGGGGCGCTGTGGCGTCGCAGGCTTACGTCGGGCATGGCCCTCTGCAGGAGGAAGATTCAAAAATAGTTTGAAAAATAGTCTGAGGACGACTTTTCGAGTGCTCCAGATTCTGTAATAAAGGGAGGGGGGTCTAATTTCGGGGGGGGTCTCTTCAAGGCTATCTTGGAGGGCCTGGGGTGTCTGGGGACGATGTTTTGGAGGGTTCTCCCACGGGAGAGGTCTGAAATCGCTTGTCTTGGAGGGTCCAGATCCCCCTCCCTTTTATTACGACATCTGGAGTACTCTTCTGTCCATTTTGGAATATTTTTGTAACATGTTTTAAATTTGTCTTCCAAAATCCCTCTGTAGGGGGGCATGCCCAACCTGATCGCAGGTGGAGATCACGGCCCTGCCGCAGCTGGTGGCCGCGTTCCACTCCCTCGTCGGGGCCGCGGCCGCGCTCGCGGCGGTGGCCTCGGCTCTCGGGGCGGAGGCGGGGGCCACGGACAGCATGCACGTGGTCTCCGAGTACCTCGCCGCCGGCATCGGGGCGCTGACCGTGACGGGCTCCGCGGTGGCCTTCGCGAAGCTGCAGGGGCTGGTCCCTGGTGCTCCGCCGAAGCTGCCGGGGGGCTCGGCGGCCTCCGCCGTGGCGCTGGCCCTCTTCCTGGGCGGGCTGGCGGCGCAGCTGGGCCCCATGCCGGGTGCCCTCGGGGAAAACAGTCAGGAGGCGCCAGTGGTCCGGGAGCCCCCTAAGCGGCGCGGTGAACACACACACACACACACACACACACACACAACACACACACACACACACACACACACACACACACACACACACCACACACACACACACGACACACACACACACACACACACACACACAGACACACACAACACACACACACACACACACACACACACACACCACACACACACCACAACACACACGCCACACACACACACACACACAGCACACATAGCACACACACCCACACACACACACACACACACACACACCACACACACACACACACACTACCACACTACCACACAGTACACACTACCACAACACAAAACACCACGACCCGCACACACGCGCACACGCGCACACACCCGCACACACCCGCACACACCCGCACACACCCGCACACACCCGCACACACCCGCACACACCCGCACACACGCGCACACACGCGCACACACGCGCACACACCCGCACACACCCGCACACACGCGCACACACGCGCACACACGCGCACACACGCGCACACACGCGCACACACGCGCACACACGCGCACACACCCGCACACACGCGCACACGCGCACACACGCGCACACACGCGCGCACACACGCACACACCGCGCAGCACTCACGCACGCGCACGCCCACACGCCCACACGCCCACACGCACACGCCC